CATACACATACAGACTGTTGACTGCATCGTGCACCCCAGACGCATGCACCACATACTTAGGCACCACACACACACACACGCACACCAGCCGCACACATACAAACACTCACAAACACACCATACAACGCTAGTGTTCACCAGGCGTGCTCATGGCAGCATACGCACCAAACGCATGTGCCGCATAGGCGGCACTCACATGAGACACAAGGCACCACACACAGCCGCGCACACAGCATACACAGATGCAAGACGCACAGACGTAGACCTCGCCACCCACACGACACGCACATCACACAACGCATACGCGTAGGGTTCGCACAGTCTCGACACCGCAGGGGGTGCGCAGCGGGTTGGGGCGCTGTGCGTGTCAGGGTCGGAAAGCGTGGCAGGCGTGGAACAGTCTCGGCAGCACAGGGATTGCGAAAGGGGTGGGGTCGATATGCGTGCCAGGGTCGGAATGCGGAGCAGGCGTGGCACATTCTACACATCGCCGGGGGTTGCGCGCGGGGTGGTGCGCTATGCGTGTCAGGGTCGGAAGCGTGGCAGGCGTGGCACGTTCTCCACGCTACAAGGGGTGCGCAGGGGGTGGGGGCGCTGTCCGTCGTGAGCTCGCAGACCGCGGCAGGCGGGGCACTTCTTGGACACCACGAGGGCTATCCGTCATGAGCTCGCGGAGCGCGGCAGGCGTGGCACGTCTTGGACACCACAAGGGCTGCGCAGGGGGTGGGGGGCCCTACCCGTCGTGAGCTCGCAAAGCATAGCAGGCGTGGCACTCCCTGGACACCAGAGGGGGCGCCCAAGGGGTAGGAGCGCTATCCGTCGCGAGCTCGCAAAACGTTGCAGGTGTGGCACTTCCTGGACGCCAGAAGGTGTGGGCAGGGGGTTGGGGCGCTATCCGCCGTGAGCTCGCAAAGCGAGGCAGGCCTAGAACGTCCTGGACACCGGGAGCGCTACCAATCGTGAGCAGGGGGGGAGGGGCACTATCCGTCGTGAGCTCGCAAGGCGTGACACGCGTGGCATCTCCCATCTCCTGGAAGCCCTAGGCGATGCGCAGGGGGCAGGGGGGGGGGGCGATATCCGTTGTGAGCTCGCAAAGCGTGGCAGGCGTGGCACGTCCTGGACACCAGATGGGGCGCGCAATGGGACGGGGGCGCGATCCGTCGTGAGCTCTTGAAGCGTGCAGGCGTGGCACTTCCTGGACACCAGAGGGGGTGCGCAGGGGGTGGGGGGGCTATCCGTCGCGAGGTCGCAAAGCGTGGCAGGCGCGGCACTTCTTGGACATCAGGGGGGGGGGCGCCCAGGGATGGGGGCGCTACGTGAGCTCACAAAGCGTGGCGGCAGGCGTGGCACCCCCTGGACACCGCAGGGGGGTGCCCCCAGGGGGCGGAGGGCGCTGCCCGCCGTGCGCCCGCAGAGCGTGGCAGGCGCGGCTTCTCCTCGACGTGAGCCGGCAGGGCCCGGCGGTGCCCCTGGGGCCCCGCGAGCCGCTCTTGCGGGGCGGCCCGCCGGCACCGGCAAGGCCCACCTCCGCCTGCCCATCCTCAGGGCGGCTGCCGCGGCTCCACTCGTCAAGCAGTGGCGAAGCGTTCTGGCTCGCCTATAGCCCTACCAAACACTGTTCTCAGAACCTTTTGTGGTTGCTCTTAGGCCATTTCTGGCGGAGTCTGTCTTCTTTCATCGCATCGGGTTATAGTTTAAGATCATTGGTTTTGTTCTTAGAACATTTTCGGTTCGAAGAACATTTCGTGGTAGGACTATAGGAATGCCGGGACGGTCGGTCCCTGCTCAAACTCGGGCCCCTACGGCTGACGGCGCCACCGCCGCTACCCTTCAGTCGGGCACGTCCCCCTACAGGAGGAATATTCACAGACAGCCAAAAAATAGTCAGGGGGCGATTTTTCGACGCTTCACAACTGTTGTTGTTTTTTGTATTGCTGATCCTTCGTCCAAAATCCCCCTGTAGGGGGGCATGCCCGACCTAACGCTACCCACGCCCACCGCGGCGCGGCAGGCCCACCGACCCGGGGCGCCGCAGCCAGCTCTCTTCGACGCCCCCGCGCATCGGTGCCTGGCTCTCGGCCGGCAGCGGGGCGGCCCCGCTGTCGCCCAGCCCGCCCCCTGCCCCGCGCCGCCGCCCCCCTGGCCGCCCTGCGCCACCGCGAGCAAGGCCGCTGGGTCAGGGCCCGGCTCCATGCCGCCGCTCCCCCCGAAGCTGCCGCCCTGCGAGACGCAGCGCACCCTGGCGGCCCAGGCCTCCTCGTGGCTCGACCAGCCCTGGAGCGGCGCACCCTAATTACGTTCGCATGCAGCTGCGGCTCTGGCTGGGCCGCAGCTGCGACCATTCCACCATGAACGCCCAGCCGGCCCCGAGCGACTTCTCGGCCGAGTTCCTCGGCGAGCTCGCCGACTCCGCTCCCAGGCCGCACCCTCTCCGGCCCCTTTTCCAGCGGCAGGCCCACGGGCCCCACCGAGGGCGCCGCAGCTCCCCGCGAGCGGCCCA